AATCATCTGTTACTGGGGTCATGGGGGCTTCTAAGGGTGCAGAGCCTGGAGGAAGGGTGTCAGGAATCCCAGGAAACGAGGTGACTGGGGTATTCGGCAAAGTCCCAGGGGTTACCTAAGAGACAACAGAGAACCTTTATCTGACTTCTTAAACTATGGAAGGTTCCCTCCTAATCTGGTTGGGTTAGTGTATCTATTATTTTACTAGCTCTGAGTGGAAATGCCCAGAGACCCTCTACCCCTCCTATTCTTAGCTATACTTCTCCACCACCCACAATGACCCAACTATACCATTTATAAACTCCATTGCCATTTATAAACTCTTTACCCCATACCAATATTATAAGAAAATCATCCCTTAGTTCAGTAGGAAATATACTAGTATAATTAATAAATAATTCCTGAACATAATCATTTATCTATCTCTCAAAAGAGCTTTTAGGTACATCCTTATCTTAGATCAATACATGGTAAATTAAGACTTTAGCATTCAGACCAAGAAAAGAAGTTGATTTGGCCAAAAGTAGCTTCCTCATTATTCAGCTCTCTGTTGGTTTGCTGCATTTCATTGGTCAGTTCCAATGAATGAAAATATACTCACCCCAGAGGCAGCCTCTTCTATAGTGGTTGGAGTCAGGTCCCCAAGGGGATATTCACCTCCTGGGGAGGCAGAATCTATTGGAGAGCGGACCATCACAGTAGGTAATCTCCGAGGGGGGGTTTTCACTGCCTGACGAGCTAAAACATAAGAGACAACAAAGCCTAAATCTTCCAAGATTAAATAAATGAAACTAGATACACTACTATTCTGCTATTATATAATAAAAGAGAAATAAGAATGCCTCAATACTGTAACAGCACACATTTAGTTTAGAAAGCTTTAACATTCCTAGAGAAAATTTTTAAATTTTTCTTAAGATCAATTCTCACACTAAGTAAACTCTATCCTAATAGTCCTTGGAGTAAGAAAATAGTTGATATACTCCTATTATTTTCTTAAGCAACTCAAGATTTTGCTTTAACTTTTTTTTTTTTTTTAATTGTATTTTAGCGAAGGGTCTACAGGTATTCAGGGTCTCACTACTAGATTGGATTTGTAGTGACCCACCTATTTATAGCCTCCCAAGAGCTGGGATTATAGGCACATGAAGATTTTGCTTTTTTTTTTTTTAATAATTAATACATTGCATATTGTTATCTTCTTAGTGGTTATTCACAGTACAAGATGCAGACATGATATCCTGTCCAAATACTATTAGTATAAATCTTTCTTTGCATTGAATTGAGAAAGTAGCTGTATATCTATCCTATTTTGTATATACAGATACAAAATGGTCCTTCCTTTGTATCCCCTTTTATTGTTTAGTTTTGTTAGAGATGAGTGTTCCATTGCCATTTAAATATTGTAGGTGCGTGAATTCAGCAAAATAATCCAATAGAGTCCAGTAGTCCATAATAGTAGTGGGTTATCCATAGGACTGGCAATGTCAGAAGTTGTTTACTTGAGGCTTTTCACAGCTCAGCATATTAATATGGCTTTACTTTTTAATACCTCGTTTTTATACTTTTCTGCTGGATTGTTAAGACCAAGATAAAGCAAGACCTATATAACAAGAAATGTATCTTCTGTATCTGATAAGGTCAGTCAAGTCCCCTCGGGATTTATCCTGTTACCCTGTACCGCAGTTTGCAGATCCTTTGTCAGTGTCAGCCATGTGGATGAGTCACAGCCATTGCTTGACCAATTTGCTCTCTGTGAAAGCCTGAGAGAATGTTTTCCCTCCATGTGACTCTCCTTAGGCACACTACATCATCCATCACATTGCTCTGTGGCACCATAATCTCCTTGATCAGAAAATTTGGGACACAACTGAGTTACATGATGGTTCTCCTATGTTACAGTGTAGGTTCTCCTATGTCCTGAGTCTTCACTGACCTTGAAAGGCTAGGGTCAAAATGTTGGCTGTCCTTGCAGCCCTTCTTTTTCTCTAATTTTGGGTCTGCAAACTTAGGTTGTTAACCCTCCAGAAGAGATGCAGTTGGGTTCAACCTCACTGTCTGAATATTAAACATCTTAGGCATAACATGGAACAGATATTTTCCATCTAGTATTTTTTTCCCATCTAGTATACATTAAACTGTAAGTCTCTACAGAATATGGAGAAAAAAATTTAAAAAATAAGAAATATGAATAAACAATTATTTTTACACAGAAATTTAGAAATCTAACCATATATAGCATTGTAGTAGGACAGATTTTTCTTTTAAAAGGATCTTATTTGCTCATAGCATTGGGAATGCTTAAAGCCAATATTTGTATTTCTTCCTTATCCAATGATGGAACTATTTTAAATCTTTTCACAGCCTTTCACATCTAAAACCTTAATTATGTTCAATGTCTTATTATCAAGTTGTGGTGTCTTAAAAGTAAATTAAAAGGGCCGGCTACATCACTCAGCGGATTAAAGCGCCTGCAAGCAGGCGCAGGTGCCAGGAGTTTGATCCCCAGGCCTGCGGTATACCCCTCTACCCCCGGGATGCACTGAGATGGCAACTGAGACTGGGTGTGGTGCCATGCGCCTGTAATCCCAGCTTTTGGGAGGCTGTAAACTGGTGGTTCACTACCAGTCTGATCTAGTAGTGAGACCCTAATACCCTGTAGACCCTTCCCTAAAATATAGAAAAAAAAAGTAAATTAGAGATCTAAACAGAGATCATTTTTTGAGAGTTTCTTTGTGGCCATTAAGACATGTTTTTATTCCCTAAAATACAAAAAAAAAGTAAATTAGAGATCTAAGCAGAGATCATTTTTTGAGTTTCTTTGTGGACATTAAGGCATGTTTTTATTTAGGTAGAACAACAGATGATAGGAATCTTTCTTTTGGAGGGTGGGATCCTGGGGACTGAACTCACAATCTCAGGAATGCCAGACAAGTGCTCTCCCACTTAACTGCATTGTCAGCCCCCAGAGTTACATTTCATGAGGCTCCTGTGAAAATGCACATATTTGTATTCCTTTATTCTTATTAATTTGTCTACTGTCTGTCAGTTTGCTTCAGAGACTTAAATTATTGAAACTTCAGTATTAGCTCCCCTACAGTTCTGGCAAGAGACCAAAACATTTCTTTGCTTCAGAAGTTGCAACTAGGACATCATGTACATGACAAAATTAGTAGGGAGAAGGTATATGAGGATAGAAAACTCTGGTAAGTCTGTTTTTGATAACTTTGGAAATACACTAATGGAGTGGGAATGCCTCTTAATTAAATGCCTACTTATTCACACTATGCAGAAGCCTATTTGAAGGACCCCCACCAAAACATCACCTCCTGAAATGACACATAGCTGTCTGAGTAAAATGACCTATTCTCAAGACTAAGATTCAGTGAAGTATGAAATATGAGAACAGCCTGGGTTGTATCCTAACACCATAATAAAGACAATGTTTAAAAGAACAAAAACAAACCAGGGGGAGAAAACAACAAGAGGAAAGCTCGCTAGTGAATTCTGTGACAAAACAGTCTTCAACTGTCATTAGCACATAGTACTGTAAAGTCAACTACTCAATAGAGGCATGTAGTTTAGCTTACCTTGGTACGCAGCATCTGTGGCCTTCCTCTTTACTTCAGCCTCCTCTTCTTCTAATTTCTTTTTCCTAAAGAGAGAATTAAAGGTCAGATGCTAGCGAGCACTAGCTCCTCCCCATAGTTTAGTGTTCTCATGAAGAATTTTTTTTTTTTTTTTTTTTTTTTAACCAAATCACATTCTGGAAGGCCCAAACAAGAATTCTAACTAGCAAAAAAGCCCGCTGATATATATTAACTTCCAGTTCTCACTCAGGGAAAAGAGGCACTTTTAAATTAGAACTGTTACGTTCTCATCTGGAAATGTTCCAACACATCCCCCTCTAGACCTCACTGTCTTTACCCCTAGCCACCAGATCACTGTGTAGGTTTGCCTTCTGAAAATCTGTCTCAAATCTAAAGAGATGATCGAGGCAGAGGAAACAAGCTAGATTACTAGGGGAAAGAGATTAAAAGAAAGGAGCACAAATGAAATAATATAACCCACATTGCAATGTCACTGCAAAGCTCATCCAGTCTGCTGTCCATGTGTCCGGCTTGAATTAGTTCTGCATCTCTTTTCAATCGTCTGTACAAAGACAAGTAGGTAGAACAAGCTTATTTTCATGTCTTTAAGAAACTCTTTTCTTTTTTTTGGTACTGGGGATCAACTCAGGACTCTGCAACTCGCCACATAGGGGCTTATGCCACTGAGCCATCTATCTGGCCCCTGTGTTTTGAGATTAGACCTCACTGTATTGTCCAAGATGGCCCCAAACTCAGGGAATTAACTGATTTTCCTGCCTAAAATCTCCTAAAGTGGCTGAAATTAGAGGATCACATCACTTTAAATCCAGCACTTGGGAGGCTGAAGCAGGATGAGGAATTTGAGAACAGCCTCGGATACACAGCCAAGTTCAAGGTCAACCTGGACTACAGAGTAAGACCAGTACCAGAATTCAGACCTTATGTTTTTATGAACTATTTTACATGCTGTGTGATAAGTACCTGTATCTCTCCTGCGTTTCCTTTATCACTTTCTTTAGTTCCTCAACTCTCTCAGCAGTCAGTTTCCGAACAATAACATCTTCAACAGTTTCTACCACTTCTCCTTTTTCACCCCGTTTCCGTCTGTGGAAAACAAAACAAAACATCCCATCAATATTTAAATAAGAGAGCATTTGTGGGGCTGGGAAGATAGCTCAGTGGCATAAACACCTGCCTGGCAAATGCAAGATTCAGAGTTCAATCCCTGGTAGGAAAAAAAAAAAAAAAAAGAAAGAGAACATTAGTTCCCACTCCCACCTGTTTTCTTGAGTCCTCCTTGCCACTTATTCATAAATAAATTCCCCTGTACAGTAAGTCTGAGACTTATGGGCACTGGCCTGCAAACTTTCACAAATACAAATAGACCTTAAATTAGGAAGTAGCTCACATGTCTATGGTTTAGTCACAATTGTATAGTGCAATAGTGTACATTGCTCCATCAGAAACCAGGATGGAGCCGGAGAGATATCTCAGTAGAGATAGCTCAAGTAGCTAAGTGCTTGCCTGGCAAGCACAGGGTCCTGAGTTCAATCCCCAGTACCGCAAAAAAAAAAAAAAAAAAAAAAGAAAGAAAGAAACCAGGATGTTCAGAAGCAAGAGGAAAAGCAGTGGTGATGTGGAGGGGGCTGCTATGATGCACAATGCAATAATCATAGAAACAAAATTGAAAATAATTGAGATGATGGACTCCAGCAAAACGATGGTAGACACTGCTTATTTATGTGTGTGTGTGTGTGTGTGTGTGTGTGTGTGTGTGTGTCCAGCTCAGCCCACCAGGGGGCAGGGCTGGCTGGCATGTGGTGCTGGGGGATTGAACCGCGGTCCCTGTGCTTTGCTAAGCTTGTTCTAAGTACGTGCTTTAGACCACTGAGCCATCTCACCAGCCCCCAACACTGCTTGTTTTTACAACATGAACTGTTCAATCATTGGCACAATTCTAAACAAGGACAGTATCACGGAACATGTCGATTTTTTTACACTTTACATTGTATATTTGAGTTAAAGTTATGTAAGACTCACTCTGTCTTATAAACAAATGTGATTTATGAATGTTCTCCCAGGATGGAACTTACGCTGGTGACTTACTCTACTTTTTATTTTCTTTCTTTCTTTTTTTTTTTTTCTACTTTTTATTTTCTTACAAGGCAGGAAGTGGTAGTGTGTAGTGATGAGGGGATTAAACCCAGGGCATGCTAAGGAAATGCTACATCCCCAATTTTAATACTTTTACTACCAAGCAATTATAAATAAAAGATGTCCAAAGCAAAAAACTTCCCACTGGGGGCTGGAGAGATAGCTCAGTAGATTAAGCGCTTGCCTGGCAAGTGCAAGGGCCTGAGTTCATCCCCAGTTCTGCAAAAAATAAATAAATAAATAAATAAACTTCCCACTCTAAAGAAATTTGACAGAAGTACCTGGCTTTATACTTACTTTGGGGTCTCAGTGGTCTCCAAGAGCTCTGAGTACTGAGAAGCACAGTGCTATAGAAAAAAATGAAAATGTGATGAGCAGGAGGAGGAAAGTAGGGAAGGGGAAGGAAAAACATTGAAACAAAGCTTTTGTAAATAAAGAGTTAAAGGGAGGAGAAAGAAATTGGGGGAAAAGAATCAAGATATATTATGTACAGGTACAAATTTCCTATAATAAATGTTATCATTATGAATATTAAAATGTACCAATAAAACTAACTAAAAAAAGAAAATGTGATGAGCAAACCTAGAAAGTAATAAGCATTCAAAGTTTCAACAGATTAGATAAGAGAACTATGTTCAGGATGTATTTCACTTCTATTAAGGCAAATTACTTTGCAATCAAATCAGTTCAAAATAATACCAAGATTCTGAAATCTTCTGGCTTAAAGTCTGCGTATTGGAGAAATACCAACTCAGTTATTGTAATTATTACGTAGAATTACAAAATGTATGGCTCTGTGCTAAATGCTTTACATGTTCTGACAAGCTTAACTATGACCATGACTGACTTGGAAGCTAACTAGGGGATTAATAAAGCACACATCTGAGTGTGTCTGGGTATGTCATGTCATAAAGTGTCACCTTGCAATCTGATTGCTGGCCTCGTCCTTTCTGGTACTATTCTTAGTTCTGCTTCCCTGACAAAATAAACTCAGCAGCTTTTTTCCACCATGGCTTTGCCATGCTCCTGCCTTGGAGCCATGGGTGAATGAACCCTCTGAAACTATGAATCAAATTAAATTTCTCCTTTAAATCAAATTAAGCTTGGGACCAGGGAGATTGCTCAGCAGTCTAAGCGCCTGCCTGGTAAGCACAGGGACCTGGGTTCGATCCCTGGCCCACATGCTGTGCCAGCTCCAGAATCCCAGGCTCACTGTGCCAGCCACCAAAACCAGGTATAGTGGTGCACGCCAGTAATCCCAGCACAGGGGAGGCTGAGACAGGATCACTACAAGTTTGAGTTGCACAGCAAGACCTGTACCAAATAAAAGATCCCCCCCCCCAGGAAGTAGCATTTATTTGTGCATCATGAACCCCACACATAGGGAGGTTAATAAAAGATTTTTAGAAAATAAAATAAAAATAAACTTCTCCTTTAAAGTGTGGCTGTTGGGCCAGGGAGATGGCTTAGTGGAATAAGCGCTTCCCTGGCAAGCACAAGGACCTGAGTTCAATCCCTGGTTCCACATTAAAATAAATAAATAAATAAATAAAAAATAAAGTGTGGCTGTTATACTCTGGTTTCTCTTCCGATCATATAAATCTTTTGCCTAAAGTGTGGGTGTTGAATATTTCTCCCAACAATAGGAAAGCTAACTTTTTTTTCTTTTTTTGTATTTTAGGGAAAGATCTACAGGGTGTTCAGGGTCTCACTACTAGATCAGACTCAGTTATCTGCCTGTTTACAGCCTCCCAAGAGCTGGGATTACAGGCACGTACCACCACACCCAGTCTCAGCTGTCATCTTGGTGTGCCCCAGGGGCAGGACTGACACAGCAGGCCTGGGGATCGAACCCCAGCCCCTGTATCTGCTTGCAGGCAGTTTAATCCGCTGAGCTGTTTTTTTTTTTTTCGTTTTCGCATTTTTAATTAAAAGTTACACACAGGAGGACTTTATTCCTGCATCTTCTCAATCGTTTCTTCCTTGTATTTGCCCTTTTCCTTTCCTACTTGGCGAGACTTGGCTTTCCATTCCAGGATCTTTTTGCGGTCTTTGTCCAGTTTTAGCCACGTGAATGCCCACGTGGACAGTTGTGCCATTTGCCTTTTCCCGCTGCACCCGTTCAATGTAGATGACATACTTCTTCCTGTAAACCTGGACTACTTTGCCAATCTGTTGACCTTTATAGTGTCCTCGCACAACCTGAACTTCATCATCCTTTCGGATGGGCATAGAGCGAACATTGTATTTTTGTCTCAGCTCTTTGGAAAGAGGAGAAGACATAATTTTCCTGCGAATGTGGGAAGGCGCATTGAAATGCCTTTTACGGTTTTTGCTTCGGTATGAAGTCACAAAAGGATTAAACTTCATTTTGGCCGCTGCAACTCCAGCGATGGCCACAAAAGGGAAGAGCCCGCTGAGCTATTTGGCTAGCCCCTAGGAAAGCTAATTTATAAAAATGTAATTCCCTCAAGTACCTTTACAACTATCCTGAAGCAACTTTTACCTCTATTTTATAATGAGAAAACTGAGGCTCATGGTCCAAAGTTTTTAGGTGGAATCATACAAAAGTTGTATCTGTGTATTTACCAAGATGGAGGAGTTTGAAATAGTATAGCAAACAGTAGGGAAAAAAACAAAAGAAACCTTTAACTAGTTTCCTATTTCATAATATAAAAGCCTTGTAATTACTGGGCAGAACCTGGTAAGAACCTACTTCACATCCCACTAATTATGGAAAAGCTTTCCTTGGTAACTTACTTTTTGAGAGAACCAGTCTGGAGGGCGGCCAGGTTCTGCAAACGGCTTAATTGCTCTGCTAACTGATACCCTACAAAATGAGGAAAGCCTTATTACACACCAAACACAGTAAAACAAAAGAAGTATACTGAGAATTCCAAATTTAGATTTTAGAATAAAAAACTGCAATTGACAAATATTCTGGAGTATCATTTGTTTTGCTTTCTGAGACAGGATCTCACCAGGTAGCTCAGCTGGCCTCAAACTTGTGGCAAGCCTCTTGCCTCAGCTTCCCAAGTACTAGGACTATACAGGCATGCACCATCATATCTCATTTACTTTTTTTTGTTTGTTTGTTTTTTTGGGTTTTTTTGTTGTCTCATTTACTTTTAACGAGACTGGAGCTCGTTAACTTGTTAAACTGCCCAGACTGAGCTCAAATTTATTGATCCTCCTGCCTCAGCCTAAAGAGTGTTGTGATTATAGGCACGTACCACTATGCCCAACTAAGTTTGGTTCTTTCAAAAAAATTCTGTCTTACACCAAGCATGATAGTATATGCCTCTAATTACAACACTTGGGAGGCTGGGGCGGGAGGATCACTGAAAGTTTGAGGCCATCCGCTATAGACTATATACAGTGTGTTCAAGGCCAACCAAAACTATATAGCAAGACCTTGTCTCAAAAACAAAAGCAAAGGCTGGAGATAGAGCTCAGCAGCATAAGTGCCTGCCTGGCAAGCAGAAGGTCCTGAGTTTGATCCATGGTATAAGAAGAAAAAAAAAAAAAAAAAAAAAAAAAAATTCTGTTTTGACCTAGGGATGTAGCTCAGTTATAGAATGCTTGCCTAGAATGCAGGTGGCACTGTGTTAAATCACTAGTACTGCAAAAAGAGAAAAAGGAGTACTATTAATATAAAGAAACTGATAAAAATTAGTAACTCAAGTGGGCTCTATCTAGGAAGACTATAAAGAGATTTCAACTGTGTCCTTGTCATATTATATGGACAGCTATCAGAAAAAACTAAAGTTTGATCCATATTGCACATCTTATGTACAAAATTCCAAATAACTCAAGACTAAAAATATTTTTAAAGTCAACCATGGAAGTCCTGGAAGTTATAGTCTCATACTGGAGAAATTTCTAATTACATCACAAAATCCATAAAAGAAAGATATTAATACACTAACTTAAAAAATAGCAATGTAATAGCACAGCTACTTGGTATATTGTTTAAAAAAAGAAAAAATGTACCTCACTGATCAGACAAATACCTCTTTAATATGTAGGATTCGCTCCATTCCAACTTAAAGACACAGGTAATGACAGAGAACTACAAAAAGTTTGCAGAAAAAAAACGTAAGTGGCTCTCTAACGTTTAAAGATACTCAACTTCGCTCATAAAATAAAATGCAAATTAATGATGAATGTTATTTCTCACATTATATTATTGTCAAACACCAAAAACATCTATAAAACAAGACATTTAAAAAAAAAAAACAGGTATTGGCTGGGCATGGTGGTGCATGCCTGTAATCCTGATACTCAGGAGGCTAAGGCAGGAGGATCGCTCTGAGTTTAAGGTAAGCTGGCAGTACATAGTGAAACCTACCTCAAAACAAAACAGAACAGATACTAGAAGATGGTGGAGTGGTAAGGAAGAGAAAAAAAGTCTCTCTCAAACTTGTTGTCCAGACACTGGAATGTACCAGTGCGTGGAAGGAGGGAAGTGGGTTCCTGGACCCAGGAAAGATCTGAAGCCCACAGGGAGAGTAAAAAGAGAAATTCAATATAGAAGGAGGGGGTTGGCCTGATAGTTCAGCAGACCAAAGCACCTGCTTAGGTAGAGAGCATCGGCCAGGGTTTGATTCTGGTGTGCTGTGCCAGCCCCGTCCCCAGCACGCACTGAGATGGCAACTGAGACTGGGTATGGTGGCATGTACCTGTAATCCCACCACTTGAGGGCTGTAAACAGGAGGATCACTATGAGTCTGATATATGTAGTGAGACCCTGAACACCCTGTACACCCTGCCCTAAATACAGAAAAAAACAAAACAAACAAACAAAAAACCAGAAGGAAGCAGCACACAGCACCTTTTCCCTGAGCCAGGTTTCAATGCCTGGGAGAAGTTCAAACCTGAGGGCACACAGTGACTTTTTCTTTTCTTTTTTTGGCAGAACTGGGGATTGAACTCAGGCCCTTGCACTTGCCAGGGAAGCACTTGTTCCACTGAGCCATCTCCCCGGCCCACAGAGTGACTACTGACAACCCCAGAGGTCTTCATGGAAAGATGCAGCAGTGGAAAGGCAGCAAAGCAGTGGACATGGAGGACTGTACTGGCCAATGCTTAAGTGCTGGAAGATCATATATCCCACATGAAAGGGTGATGGGCTGGGAGCCATCTTGGAGAAGGGCCAGATGAGCACAGAACTCAGAACTGCTGGTTTCACTTTGCTCAGTAATACTTGAGCTGTTGCAATATTTGATTATCCATTTGGTTGTTACAGAAAAATTCTTAATTGTAATTGATGGTTGTTGCCGTAATAGTATAATGCCTATATTTCTACCTCTAATAATGGGCTTTATGTGCTAGATTTTAATATCCTTGAGCATGGGAAAGTGCACGAGTCTTTTTAAAAGAAACATGGGGGGCTGGGGAGATGGCTCAGTAGGATAAGCGCTTGACCAGCAAACGCTAGGATCTGAGTTCAATCCCCGGTTCCGCTAAAAAAAAAAAAAAAGAAACGGTTTACTTGCACAAAACCGATCAGTTCTGAGAGATCATTAATGCCTTTGTGGTTTTTGTGGGTGTGAAACAAATGGTGAGAATTTGAATTGGTCCCTCTTATTACAGTATTGAAATTAAGTCTACTTAATTTATCAAGTCATGTTCATGCCCTGGTTTTATATACTTGCATCTATCAATAAACACTGTGATACTTGAAAAAAAAAAAAGAACTGCTGGGTTCATCTAGCAGTTCCCAGCTAAGTTCAAGTGTACAGAAGTTGCGCTGACTGCTGCAGGATGAACAGGTCTGGTTCCTGCCTCATAGGGGAAACAAAGGTGTAGTTCACAGACATTATCCACTACCTCACCATAAAACTACTGCTGGTTTGCTGGGATAAACCAATACAGATCTAGACTCAAGTTTCCATACATTGTCTACCAGTGACAGCAGAGATAAAGGGGACTTTTTTCTTTTTTTTTCCTTCAATATTTGATCTTGTTTTTATGAATGTGAATATGGTTTCTAGTTTTAATGTGGTTGTTCCTTTGATTCTTCCATGTCTCCTTCCCTCCTGCATTCTGTACCAGTTTCCCAAATTTTGCATGATACTCCTTTGTAATGCAGTCTTATTTCTAATTTCTCCCTTTTCTTCTATTTTTATTCACCTAATCCCTTTTAAATTTTCTCCCCCGAGGGTAAAATT